CTTGCTTTGTTGCCCAGGCTAGAGTGAGTGCTGTGGCGTCAGCCTACCTCACAGCAACCTCAAACTCCTAGGCTCAAGAAATCCTGCTGCCTTAGCCTCCCAAGTAGCTGGAACTACAGGCATGTGCCACCATGCCCTGCTAATTTTTTCTATATATATTAGTTGGCCAATTAATTTCTTTCTATTTATAGTAGAGACGGGGTCTCACTCTTGCTCAGGCTGGTTTCAAATTCCTGACCTGGAGCAATCTACCCGCCTCGGCCGCCCAGAGTGCTAGGATTACAGGCATGAGCCACCATGCCAGGCCATGATAATAGGAACTTAAGATGGTAGGAGGATTCAAGGATGAAAGGAGCAGAGCCCAGGACCTGCATGGTGATCTGAGTAGTTTTCTGCCTCCTAGTCCAAGCCACCCACTGCAGTGGCCAGGAAAACCCAGGTCTCACCTTCTTCTAGGTTCCCTGGGACAGGATACACAACATGGGAGGCATTGTTCTTATCCTCAGTGACTGTTCCCTGCATGGCAGAAGGAAAAACAGGTAAATATGAGGTCTCTTCTGTATTACTCATAGGTGTAAATAAACCAACAGAAGATGTAGCCACAGATCTGCCTTCCTAATCAGATTTTGCTTAGAATGGTATTAAAGTTAGTTTGTATTCTCTAAGCATATACCAGTTGAGTGGCAGAGGGAAACAGCTGGGATTGTGCTAATAATGGAGAAAAGTCTAAGAAGTAAAAATTGCTACAGATAATCCTCTGAACAGATATCTACACATGGGAAATTTAAAGTTGGCTATATGTCCCTATCGATGACATCTGCTCATTATTATAAAGTATCAAAGAGCAAGGATTTCACTTATCTGAAATCAGGCAATCTCTAGCTCAGTGGAAGTAGATGCTATTTTTTTCCTAGGCCAACACATTCTTTAGGAACAGTAATCTAAACCCCTTAGGACTGGGAAATGAGAGAAGCAGGCAGGAAAAAAGAAACTCAAGGCTTTAACTCTAGTCTTTTTCCAAGTAGACACAGCCACCTTTGCAGTAGAACACAAGAAAATTCAGGGCTGCTTGTCAGTATGGAAAGCATTTGGAAAAGTGTCATGGGGTTTCTGAAATCTTTCCTGACCAATCCACTTACCTGGTGTCTCTTGATAATGTCCTTTAATTTCCCTAGCAGTTTGGGCTCAATTTCTGGGCACAGAAAAATGTTAGGTCGAGATAGGCAATTATTCTGTAGAGAGAAGAAATAGATGGGATGAGATTATAGGAAAGGGGTGTTTGGGATTCTCATTGAGGGAAGAGAGATGACGGGGAGGTTCCTATTACCTGCACCAAAGACTTCTCAATGGTCATGAACATTTCCACATTGCGGTCCATGCGTGATGGATTCTGGAAATCGTAACGCCGCCTTGTGAAGAGGCAATAATCTAATAAGTGGCATAGCTCAGATCTGGGGATAAGGTGAGGGTTTGTGACTTCTTAACATGGGAAATTAGGAGGCAATCTTGCTCACAGCTGTTGCCAAAAGCACCTGGGATCTGAGGTTCACTGATCTAAACTCTATGAATCACTCTGTGCTTAGTCCAAATGAACAAAAAGAAGCTTGAGATGCCAACTTACAAATCCCTTTTCCTCTTCAAAACACACACACACTCTCTCTCTCTCTCTCACACACACACACACACACACACACACTCACTCACTCTTGGAGACTATTTTGGCTCTAACTCCCAGCCACTTTTCTGACCTAGTAAGTCAGGTCTACAGACCTAGTAACATAATAGACTCATAAGAATTTCTACCTGAAAGACCCCAGGGAATCATAAAGGAGGGAGTCCCTCTAAATTAAATGTAAGATACATAGAATGAAGGCATCTCACCATCCCTGGTCACTCTTGAATTTGTAGGCAGCTGCCAGTATGTGGCACAGGGAGCCTCCTGCTTTGAAATCTAAGAAACACTTGATCTACAAAATCAAGACAGGGAAGAAACATGTAAGAGTTCCACTGTAAATTCTCTTATTACTTAATAATTCTTTCACAAAATCCCATGCTGAACTGATCTTCCTCTCAAAGGTGGAATTCTTTAACCCTTGTGCCATTGTATCAAGTGGCCCAAAAGAGAGAGAGAAAGAAACCAATATTCAGAAAGCATCACCTTGTGCAAACACTTTTCTGAGTTACCTCATTTATCATTACAGAAGCCCTGAAAGGTAGGCTTATTAATCCCATCTAGAGATGAAGGACCCAAGACTCATAAAGGTTGCCTAAGATCATAAAGCCATCAAATGGCAAAGTAAGGACTTGAACACAAGCCTGTGCAAATCTAAACTGCATACCCTTTTAACCATGCCATGAGAGACTTATGAACTGAGCCCAGATGCTCAGAGACAACTTGCTTCACAAATTATTACTAAGACAAAAGGAATGGAAAATTAGGGACTATGTCAAGCCATTAATGGCCTGACCAGGGACAGGGATGGTAAGAAATAACCCAAATCTCAAAAGTTACAAAATTTATAAATATTGTTTAAAAATACAATTCCCTCTTCAGTTTGGAGGATTCAACCCCTTGCTTCTGCACTCACCGGCAGTTTAGTGAGTGGTGCATTGCTGACGTGTTTGCCAAAAACTTCTTCCTGAAACTGTAGCAACTGTACAACCAGGCTAGACAGGGACTTGTTGGTAGGTGGTTCAGCTTGTATATACTAGGGAAAGAGAAGGAAAGGAAAGAAAAATAGATCCCAGATAAATTGCTCATTATCTCCCATATTTCTTCCCCAGGGGCTCTAAAAGCAGCTGGGGTAGAGAAAATAGTGCCTTTCTCTCCCCCTGCCCCTTGTCTCTATAAAGAAAATGGCAGAAGGGAGGCACTGGATACTCCTAACTAGGAAGTTGAAATTCTGCAGCCACCAGCTCAGGTTGCCAGTGTTGGGTGCCGGGGGTGAGGGACGCTTTCTACTCTTTCTCAGCTACACCCTGAAATTCGAGTTGTAGGACCCTATTTCTTGGCACCTAATCTCCACTAAGGGTTGTAAAATTCTGAAGGTTTATGGAGTTCAGGTCATGGAAGCAATACTTTCAGGGCTCTAAGTGAGACAACTGTATATTTTTGGGGGGAACTCTGTGAAAAGCCATGCTTCTCCCTATAAGGTAGCCTAACAAGAAAGGTGCAAGGAGGTGAGGTAGGGCAAGCAGACTGGAGACAGTGAACTTATGCATTTGGGTTTTGAAAATGTCTTCACAGGCCCTCCTAGATGGGAAGGACCATTTATTACCCAGCCTGATGGAGAGGAGCAAGACAATTAACTGTCCTTTTTGAGGAAAGTATATCTGAGACAAGCAACCCTGTGCCTTCTTAAACACTTCCATATTATGCCACCTAGCATCCTAGCCTTCTGTTTTAATTTAAAACTGAGCCAGGAGGCTTTCTCTTTACCTTTTGACCCCTGTTTCCTACTCAGAGTAGAGAGTATCTCTCAGTGGGAGGTGTAAAGAGATCTGTGAAAGGGAAAGGTAAATGACAAAGAGCTAAGAGCAGGAAAGCTGAATCAGGTCACAGTTGTCAATCCCCCCAGGGCCAGAGACTAAGCCCCTAGCCTGATCTCCCTTCAAAAGGTCAAAGGTAGAAGCCTGGGCACCAGAGCCTCATGCTAAGGTACAGACAAGCCACAGAAACAGCAGCTGTTTGTCAGCATTCTAACACCCAGAGAGACCCTGAAAGCAAGGCCAGGCTCAACCAGCATCAGTGGGGAGTTCTAAATCACTCAACTCACTTCTGACAGATGGCAAAGCTGGGCAGGAAGAACTAGGGAGCTGAGAGAAAGCCAGAAAGAGAGCCCCTAACTGGGGGTAGTGAGAAGGAAGAGAGGCAGACCACCTCTAGAGAAAAAACCAGGCCTAGAGACAAAGAAGACACCAGGAAGAGGTTTGGTGGAAAAGACAGGTAAGGATTCTTGAACCCTTTGTTCACTCCCTTAGCATCTCCAGTTATGGGGTAGGGAGGTGAGGAGCTAGAGATATAAAGCTCACTTTAGCCTCTGGACCCCAATCCCAAGGCATTGCAAAGCTAGGTTGCAGGGTGACAGCATTGTGAAGGTAGGGAATGGTTTAAGACGGGGCCGCTGCCCAGGAACTCCTATACCCTGACTCCTTGAGAGGTTTTGTGGCCCCTTAGATAAAGGTGGGGAATGAGCGGTGGAGACAGGTGATCCCAGGGTGGGGACCCTTTTCAGGCTGATGAACAGCCAACGGCCTGTTCTGTGGCTGTTTACTCTCCTGCTTTCATCATCTCTGAACATACACAAAGCACGGGGGAGGCCTCAGCCCCGCCGGTACCTGGTTCTGTGGGGAGCTCTGGCGGGCGCTGAGGCGGGCACGCTGGGAGCAACGGGGGAGAGGGGTAGAGCCCATTCGGCACTCAGGCCACCCCCGGCCCGCCGCCTCCCTCAGAAAAGCAGGGAAGGCGAAGGCGAAGGCGAAGGCGAAGGCTCAGGGAGGGTGGGCTGCTGGCACCTGGGCCCGCCGGGCAGTGGAGAAAAACAAGGGACAAGAGGGCGCAGCAGTGGGGGCGGGGGCTGGAGGCAGAAGCCGGGGGTGCGGGTAAGAGAGCTGGGGGAGGGGCGCGGGCGCTGGGGGCTGCTCGCGCGGCCGCGGAGGAGGGGCCGGGGCGGCTGGAGGGTGGGCAGGATGCGGGGGGGCTGACGGGCCGCGGTCCCTTTGTCCCTCCTCCGGTCCCCGCGAGGCCCTGCCCGCGTACCTTCTTGTAGTTCTTGCCGAGCCAGAGGCGTACGTTGTCGAACTGGGTCACGGTGTCCGTGGCCTCGTAGTACTTCACGTTGGGGCCGCCGTCCTTCTTCCGCACCGCCATCTTCTCGGGCTCCAGCCCCGCCGCCGCCCGCCCCGCTCAGCTCAACTCCCGCCTCCTCCGCCTCCTCCTCCGCCCGCCTCCCGCCGCCTCCCGCCGCCGCGGCCGCCGCCTCTCGTTGCCTGGGCCGGCCCCGGTGCGTGCAGCGCCCCCTGCCGGCAGGCCTGGCGCGGCAACGGAGCGCCTGGCGCGGGGCCGACCCTGGCGGCCTTCCTGGCGGCGACGGTAGGAGGCAACTCCTTCCTGGAGGGGGCGCCATTCTCCAGAGATCGCTCTTCACCAGACGCGAAACCCTTTCCCTCTTTTTGCCTCTCAGCCCGAGAGTGGGATACCTCTCTATCCCAGCCCAAGGAGCCCCAGCCCATAGCGCCGAGTGGCCCTCACTTTGCACATTCCTAACCCCATGGAGCCCCTAATCCCAAGGAACCCCAAACCCCTTTCCCCAAGAAGTTCCTTCCTTTCATCCATTCCCAGGAGCTCCTCATTGAAACTCTTCCCCAGTCTCCCTCACCCCTTACGCCTTGTCCCACCCAGTACAGTACCCCCTCTCACTTCTCAACTCGAGAAGTCCCAAAGTCGCCATCCTGGGGGCCCAGTCCCTTCCCTCGACTGCTTCCTCCACAGGTCTCGCCATCTCCTCCTAAACAAGTTTGCGCTCCTTGAGACCCCAACTCTTCCCTAGGCTGGAGACCCTCACCTTCCCTCCTTGGGTCACCCGGTCCACCGGACCCTTTTCTTTTGCATGGCGCATAGGAGAGGTAAGGAGCGAGGGGTGGGAGTCCCAGAGTGTGTGTGCCTGGGTTGGGGCCCTTGTCGCTGCCATCCACTCTGCCCCGTGGTAATGCGGACCCCTTCTGTAAGCGCGCTGAAAGGTGCGGTTTTGGAAGTCACGGTGGCCGAGTGGTTAAGGCGTTGGACTCGAAATCCAATGGGGTTTCCCCGCACAGGTTCGAATCCTGTTCGTGACGGAATGTTTTTTTTTCTCCTTCCCACCCTTGTAAGTAAGGGAATCCCAGTCCTCGCACGTGTCTTTCCGGTACTTCCCTTTCTGTCTGGAAAAGGGAAGCCAAAAGGTCTTACCCCTGGATTTGAGAGGGATGGGGTAGCATTAGAAAGCTGAATTATCCATAACAATTTTGGCTGCTAGGATACAAGACACTTTCGGAATTCTATTAACTTCATGCTTGTTAGCAGAGCTTTGGCGCATGTTTCCTTCTTTTGGGGGGACAGCAAAGGATTTGGTTGAAGAAGGGTTAAGTTTTGTTTGAGAATGTGAGTGCCTGTTGTGCAGTATTAGTCAAACCTGGAGTTTCCTTTGAATTTTGTGACTAGACGTCACACCTTGTAGGTCTGATTACACTGAAGACCCAGGAAACAGAGCATTCTCTCATTTGGATTTCCTTGTATCTCAGGTATCACAGGGCTAGGAGGGAATAGCCTATTGAAACATAAAAACCGCTGATCCAGCTGGAGCCAGGGTGTGGGAAGATAACTATCACTTTTTATTGAGTGCTCATTATGTGCCAGGTCCTGTTTTAAAGTCTCCATGTGTATTAACCAAGCTAGGCAATTGATCTCTTCTCTAACCTCTAACCCTCCTGTACTCACCTCACTTGTTTCTTACTGTCCCCTAATTACTGATTGTAGGGAAGATCTCGGGTACCTGTTGAGGATGTTCTTTTTGTATTATTTCTTGCACAACAGCATCTTCTCCAAGAAGGATCCCAAATTGTAGGGGCTTAAGGGTAATTCATAGACATTTTTACACATTTATGCCTTAGAGTTTCCCACCTTCATACCACTGCTCAGGCTGTTCTTCCCAGCATCACCCTCACCAATATCACTTGCCAGAATCTTCCACATCCTTTAAGCCCTTTCTCTTTGATGTTTTTCATTGCACCAGGTGGGACCTTTCAGTCTACCACCACCATTCACTGAGTTGCATGCAAGGCATCTTCCATGACATGCTTCCACAAAAATAAAATAAAAACAAGTTCTATTTATTCTGCCTTCTAAATATGTCTTAGCCAGGGTGTGGCTCAAGCCTCCGCCTCTCTTGTCCCACACCTCCAGCCTCTGCTTCCAGTCCCTGCCCCACTGCTGTCCCCTCTGCCCCTTGTTTTTCTCCACTGCCTGGTGGGCCCAGGTGCCAGCAGCCCACCCTCCCTGAGCCATCACTGGGCTAGGCGTGGCTAAGCAGAAGGATCACTTGAAGTGAGGAGTTCAAGACCAGCCTGGGCAACATAGTGAGGTCCCCATCCCCATCTCTTAAAAAAAAGTAGTCTTAGTGGTGTACACCTGTAGTCCCAGTTACTTGGGAGGCTGAGGCAGGAGATCACTTGAGCCTAGGAGTTCAAGGCTGCAGTTAAGCATTGGTGATATAGTGGTGAGCACAGTTGCCTTCCAAGGCTACAGTGAACTATGATCATGCCACTGCACTCCAGTCTGTGCGACCAAGTGAGACCCTCGTTTCTAAAAACATTCCAGCTTCTGTAGTCTAGAAAAAATAAATAAATAAAAAATAAAATAAAAATAAATAGGTGGGGTACGGTTGCTCACGCTTATAATCCCAGCACCCTGGGAAGCTGAGGTAGGAGAATTGCTTGAGCCCAGGAGTTTGAGACCAACCTGGACAACAGAGAGAGAGCCCCATGTTTAAAAATAAATAAATAAAAATAAAAAATTAGCCTGGCATGCACCTATAGTCCCAGTTACTGGGGAGGCTACAGTGAGCTGTGATCGCACCACTGTACTCCAGCCTGGGTGACAGAGATTCTGTCTCTAAATAAATAAATGAGTAAGTCTCAAATCTGCCCATTTCTCAGGGGTGAATGCAGACTAGTCCCACCACTTGCTACAGCCTTCTGTGGAAAGTAGTGGTATTTGTGGGGACTATGTGAGTTAATATATGTGGATTTGCACTAAAGCATCCACATTGCAGCCCAAGAACTTAAACCCTTTCATAGGTGCTTTTTATGTTGCAAGATCTGACTCTTACACCACTCTTCCATATTCACTACATTCCGTCCACAGGCAATCTTATTTTTTTTTAATTTTTAAATTTTTTTCTTTCTTTTGTTTTTTCTGACATATAAAGAGCTTACACAGGCAATCTTTTAGTTCCTGGTACAGTTATTTGGCCTCATTCAGGCTTTTCTCTGCCTGAAATAGTCTTCCTCAGCCTCATCTTCTACTTAGTCTCTACCTAAATGTTGGCTTTCCTGGGAAGTCTTCTCTGACCACCTGTTCCCCACCACATCCTGTGCCCTAATCTTATTAAGTCTCTTTTCCCTTGTAGGATATAAACGCTTGACACATACAAACCACTCAGTTTTTAAGTTTGTTGCATAAATGGATTTTTTTTTTACAGTAGTTAAGTATATATGTTTTAATTTTTTTCCTTTTTCCTTTTTTTTTTTTTCTTTTTCTGAGACAAGGTAGAGAGTTCTCCAACTCCTGGGCTCAAGCGATCCTCCTGCCTCAGCTTCCCAAAGTACTGGGATTACAGGAATAAACCGCAGAACCCTGCCTGTTTTAATCTTCACTCAGACTGGACTATAAGCTTCTTGAAAGTTAAGACAATGGTTTTGTTTCTTTTTATCGCCTCTACAAGGGCTTATACATAGATTTGATCAAATATATACTGAATGAATAATAGAATCTAAGAGGCTCAGTCCCCCACTTCCTACCAAATCCCATTTTGCGCATGCTCTCAGATTTAAGTATCTGGCGAGCCAAGACCAAAATTGACCAGCAGAGGGCACCCGGCAACTATGTAGTGAAGGGAAGAAGACTCCATGGTTTACAAAATGGACGATCTGGACTCAGGAGGGTAATGTGGCAGAGGTAGTTTAGTACTTGAAGATCATCCCTTTCACTATGAAATGCTTCCCTTGTACTTTTTGGGAGAGGCTAAGGCTTCGAACCTTAATGTACAATAGATCGTTTCAAATTTCTACCATTCTCACAGCCCACCCTAACTCCCCAATTCCTTCACCCTTCCCCTTCCCCACTTAAATCTTTTAGACAGCCTGCCTGGGATAGAGTGTACTGGCATCATCATAGCTCACTGGAACCTCAAACTTCTGTGCTCAAGTGATTCTCCTGCCTCAGCCTCCTGCTACAGTATATGTACTTTTCTCCTCTTCCCTGAAGTTACTTTCTTCACCTGGCCTGGCAATCCTATTCATTTTAACCTCTTAAGGAATCTTTCCTAACACTTTCAAATTCTACTCCACTGGATCAGTCCTTCATGAATTCAGAACAAAACCCCATCTTCATTTGATACTTCTGAATCACCACGTTGTTTTCTACTTTATTTTTTGAATAAAATGTATATTTTTCTGCCTCCAGCTCCATAGTATTTTTTTTTGTCTTTTTAAAAATTTTTTTTTGTTTTCTACTCCATAGTATTTTAATACCCTGTCCTTTGGTTTCTGCCTCCTGAAATTTTTTAAACATTAATAGAAACCAAAATTAATAGTCTCTTCTCAGTCTCCATCCTTTGCTAGATTTGAAACCATAGATTCCTTATTGGCCCTCAGAAACTGATGTTTTTCTCCTCCTTACAATACTGTTTCTCCATCTCATTTGTTTTTTTCATCCTCCAGTGGAATTCTACCAAAGCTTCATTCTTCTCCCTTCTCCCAAGACAAAATCCCAAAGCCACCTTCCCAGGCCTCTCAGCCAAACTATGATCTTTTATCTTCAGCTGCCTACATGTCTACCTAGTTGACCTAATGTCACCTAAGATACAAACAAAACTTCTCTTCCTCTCACAGAACCTCAATTCTCAACTGTTCTCATTTTTGTTACCACTGTTCTCTCAATTCCATCTTGTGTCCAGCCTTATTTGACATTTTCTTTGCTCCTATGCCGGTTATTTGTTCATCAGTTACTTCTGCATATCATCTTAATTCATGCTTTTGTTACAATGGCGTTTTAGGTGCTCCAGTTTCACTACACTTAAATCTACCTTATAGTAATGTGATTACTCTACAATGCTTTCATCATATTATTTCTCTATCTAGGAACCTCAGTTCCCCATGTAATCAAACACAAGCTCCTATTATCAACATACCCTGCCTAAATCTTTTTTTTTTTTTTTTTTTTTTGAGACAGAGTCTCGCTTTGTTGTCCAGGCTAGAGTGAGTGCCGTGGCATCAGCCTAGCTCACAGCAACCTCAAACTCCTGGGCTCAAGTGATCCTCCTGCCTCAGCCTCCCGAGTAGCTGGGACTACAGGCATGCGCCACCATGCCCGGCTAATTTTTTTATATATATATCAGTTGGCCAATTAATTTCTTTCTATTTTTATAGTAGAGACGGGGTCTCGCTCTTGCTCAGGCTGGTTTTGAACTCCTGACCTTGAGCAATCCGCCCGCCTCGGCCTCCCAAGAGCTAGGATTACAGGCGTGAGCCACAGCGCCCGGCCCCTGCCTAAATCTTATACTTAAATCTTCCCAGTATGTTACCTCCCATCTAATCAGGCTGGTCATTTCCAGGTGACAGGCTAATTACTGCCTTCTCTCATGAAGTTCCTTCTGTCTCTTCACTATATAACCGGCTACTAGCTAACAACACCCTATAATGATCTTTTCAGCTGTAAATTCTTAGATCTTAACCAAAATTGCTTTCATGTAACTAACATTTTTTAAAAGGCTAATGTTTGGGGAATCTCACATACAAGAACTTATTATCCTCTTCCAAGTTGTTCACTTCATCCACATTTTAAGAGGCTTGGCTCTCTGGAGTTTATCCAGTAACAAATCATTAGAGGACTTGCGCTGAAATGATTTCGGCCTACATTTGTTTCAGTGGTGCTGTCATGGCACAAAACATTTCTGGAACGCCTTCACAGCCAGTTTATGAGCTATACTTAGATGATTCATTACTTCAAAATTATTTTTTTTAACAATTAGCCAACTTTATCATGTATCTATTCTCCAGATTTTGTTCTAGATTATTTCTGGAATTCCCCAAGTTCCCATTCTTGGCCTTCTTCCTGTTCACTCCTTTAATGTTCACATTTATCCCTAGCATTTCTTGATCACCTCTGGGTGGATTAATACCCAAATCCACATGTTTAGTTCTGACTTCTTGCTCTTAAGCTCCAAAGCCATGTTTCCATTTCCTAGCTAAACACATCTATGTGGAAGCACTTCCAACCTAATGTGCCCCAAATGAACTCATTACTTCACCCCCAAAACCTGCTTATCCTCTTCTCCCATTTAGGCTAATGATACCATGTTCTCTGGAATTGGAAACATGGTCCTGCCAGAGTCTGGGCAGACTAGAAACCTCAGTCTTTATCTGTGACTCATTTTTGGTTACTTGCCAATTGTTTATAGGCAATGGTTAGGATCCCAGGCTCTGGAATAAAGTTTTGGGTTCAAATTCCAGTTCTGATTATGAGCTATAAGAATTTTTGTCCTCTGTCTGAGTTTCCTCACATAGAAAATGGAGGTGATAATTAGTTATAGTGCCTCTTTATTAAAAGTTGTTGGGATGGCCAGGCATGCCTGTAGTCCCAGCTACTCAGGAGGCTGAGGCAGAGGATCACTTGAGCCCAGGAGATGAAGACCAGCCTAGTCAACATAGCTTAATACTTAGAATGGTGCCTGACTCACAGTAAGTGCTCAATCTGACCATTACCCCCTTTCATTGCTGCCAATATCCAATCCTGTTCAGAACTTAGGTCCAATGATTCTGAGAGGCCTTCCCTCTGGCATCTAGCCAGGTACGTAGGTGAATTCTTTCCTGCTGGTTGTCCCCTTGTACTTGGTCCATATCTATTAGCAACATACTATTCTGTATTTGCCATTATTTGTTCAAGTGTATGTCACTGCTACAAATTCCTTCAAATTGTTTCTCAATAACATTAGTATTTATATATCTCAAATGACTGGCCTCGTGTGCTGTAAATGTTAGCAGAGTGAATCTAATCAGTTACCAAGACTTATCAGTTTTCCTCCCCAAATGTCTTTATCCTCTCTTTCCTGCTCTATTTTAAGACCCTATATTCTCTGCATGAATTACTGCAAAGCTGACAGCAATTTCTTGCACTCTTTCAAATGCCACCTGAATTGTGGGTTAGAAGTCATTCCTCTTCGCAAATACTTACCTGTAAAATAAAAGTCCAAATTCCCTATCATGCGTTCAAGGCCTTCCAAGAACTGGCCCCAAATTATTTCTATTCTTATCTTCTATTACTTTCCTCAATAAACTTTTTTTTTTTTTTTTGAGACAAGAGTCTCACTTTGTTGCCCAGGCTAGAGTGAGTGCCATGGCGTCAGCCTAGCTCACAGCAACCTCAAACTCCTGGGCTCAAGCAATCCTGCTGCCTCAGCTTCCCAAGTAGCTGGGACTATAGGCATGTGCCACCATGCCCGGCTAATTTTTTCTATATATATTAGTTGGCCAATTAATTTCTTTCTATTTATAGTAGAGACGGGGTCTCGCTCTTGCTCAGGCTGGTTTCAAACTCCTGACCTGGAGCAACCCCGCCCACCATGGCCTCCCAGAGTGCTCGGATTACAGGCGTGAGCCACTCTGCCCGGCCTCAATAAACTCTTAAGTTCCCAATTACACTAGTTTCTTTCTTTTTCAACATATCCTGTACTAAAGTTCACTTGTTTTTATTCATGCTGTGAACTCAGCTTAAAATAGAGGCTGCAAATAGGTAGACCCTAGTTTTTGGTTTTGGCACACAGCTTTCTTTAATTTGATATATTTAAAAGTTGTGAGATTTAGCATAAACATTAGGATGTCCAGAATTTTTTTTTTTTTGAGACACAGTCTCATTCTGTTGCCTGGGCTAGAGTGCCTGTGGCATCAGCCTAGCTCACAGCAACCTCAAATTCCTGGGCTCAAGCAGTCCTCCTGCCTCAGCCTCCCAAGTAGCTAGGACTACAGGCACGTGCCACCATGCCCGGCTAATTTTTTTTCTGTATATTTTTAGCTGGCCAATTAATTTCTTTCTATTTTTAGTAGAGATGGGGTCTCACTCTTGTTCAGGCTGGTCTCGAACTCCTGAGCTCAAACGATCCACCCACCTCGGCCTCCCAGAGTGCTAGGATTACAGGTGTGAGCCACCGTACCCAGCCTGCCCAGAATTTCTTGAAAAATCAAAAGACCTGGCAATACTGAGTCCCTGTTCTTACATAGTAGCAACCAATCAGAGCTGCACTGCCAGTTGACCCCCTTTCTCACTGCATGTATTTGTCACTTAACCAAGTTTAGAAAAATCTCTCAGCAATACAACTGTATAATGAAGAGATCAGGCTAATGGTGGGGCAATTGGGCATATCTCCTGATGTTACAAAATACAAAGAATATCTCTCTCCTGTGATGTCTTCTATCCCTAGAACTGTTTCACTTGAACCTTTCAAGACTCTAGATCTAATTTTGTTTAGTAAAATAGGGACTAGAGGAACAAGTTAAAGGACACTGAAGAAGCAATCAGTAAAGTCCAAAAGAGTGTTCTCCAGGACAACTGGCCCAATCTCTTCAATACATTAGTGTTACATGAAAAAATGTTTCAGGAATCTAGATAAGAGGGTAAAAGGGAAATAACCTGAAGTAATGCATGGTCTTGGATTGGATCCAGATTTGAACAAAAATTAGGTGTAAAAGGAATTTTCTTGGGATAATTAGGGAAATATAAATATGAATTATAGTAGATTATTAAGGATATATTGTTAAATTTTTAAAATATTTTTTATTTTTTATTAGAGAAAAGGTCTCACTCTGCTGCACAGGCTGGAGCACAGCAGTGTGATGATGGCCTACTACAATCTCAAATGTCTGGGCTCAAGCAATCCTCCTGCCTCAGCCTTCCAAGTAGCTGGGAGTATAGGTACGTACCACCAAGGCCAGCTAATTGTTCTATTTTTTGTAGAGATGAGGTCTTGCTCTTTGCTCAGGCTGGTCTTGAACTCCTGGCCTCAAGTGATCCTCCTGCCTTGGTTTCCCAAAGTGCCAGGATTAATTACAGGTGTGAGCCACCACATCCAGCCCCAATAAAATATTCTGCAAAAGCAGGCAGCAGGTTGCAAGCTGACCTCTGATTTAGAACAAACAATACTTCTGAAAAGCCTTTCCTGATACCCATCAGAATCAGTGGCTTTATATTCCTCTGCTCACATATTACATTACATAGCACATTTATTGTGCCTTATTATATACTCATCTCCACCAGTGAGTAAGTTCTTTGAAGGTAGATGCCATTTTGCTACATGAACCTCCCTATCCCCACTCTAGAGAGCATCTTGCAGGGTAGACATTCAATGAATGTTTGTTTCCAAAAGCCAAATCTACCCTAAAAGCAAGATTTGGTACAATTCATGACTTACAAAAGAATAAGCAACAGGTTCTAAAAGTAATTTTGACAGTTTCAGGAAAGAAAAAAAGCATTACTGGTATCATTAGGGTACATATATTGCCTCTTAGGCTCTATATTGTGACATGTTCATCAGTATTTTATAACCATAACTTGTACGTATGAAAGCATAGATTCAGTGAGCAAGGGAATGCCTTTTTCCCCCAATAGATTACTATTAGATTTACATTAGGTGCATAATAAATGCTCAACAAATTTAAAATATACTAATGTGAGGGAAGATTTCCTTTTCTTCATGACAAGGAAAAGGGGGCAGCAAATGCTTACAAAAAGTGTTTATCAAGATTTGACAACCACAGCAGGTACAGTTGTTTCAGGTTTCCTTCCTCACATTTACTTTCTTGGTTTAGCAACTGTTGGGTGATGGAGGCTTCCCTGCCTGCAGTAGAATACCAGATTCCAAAGCAAAGTTGCTTTTGGGATAAGGGAAAGAGATACATGCATATCTTGTGTAGCAAGTATCCCCCAAACCCAGGAGCACTTAGAGAAGACATGGAATTTAGCGTAAAGGCAGACCTTGGGAAGAACAGTTCAGATCACTGGAGAGAGCTTTGGTTGCTAGGGAACAGCAGACAGGAGGAAAGGATGCAGGAACATAGGGCAAAGCAGTTGTGAGGTATCTATTCCCAGACAGCCTCTGGAAACAGAGGTTAGTTCCAAGATAAGGGTAGGTAACAAAGCAAAGAAGTAAGCAGAATTAAGGTGAGAGAAAGGACAAAAGCAGAGAAAAAACCCTTCAAAACAAGGGGAGTGATGCTGAATTAAGAATTTAGAGTTGAGTAAAAGGTTTATTATTAGTACAGTCAACACCAGGGAACAGCACATACAACACAACCAGCAACCTGCAGAGACACTAGTGCAAAGGGTAGGGAAACCTTAACTGGGCTTCCTGGCTCCATCTAAGGGTAAGGACAGGAGAATATGGGCCTTGATAAGGCAGGCAGGGGCAAAGGGGAGTGGAAGAAATGTAATAACCACACTAAGTATAGCAGCGTTTTCAAATTCCTGAGCACAATGTCCTGGAGCTGGAACATATGACTGTTCCCTACTCCCCTCAAGCTGCATCCCTCCACCCCAATCCCAGTGGGGCCATGACCCAACTACCCAGACCTATAGCAAGCTGACCTGGAAAAAAACTCCAAAAAAGAAAAGGAGCCATTATATGGTGGGGAGGAGTCTTTCTCCAACCCCAATCTCACCTGCATATTAAAGTAATCACCTACTATCCCTCCCCTTCTCACTCTGCCAACCATCATAGGAATCAAGGAATGCCCCAGGTAGCCTGAAATGGAGCTGAAGTCCTTAGGGTGGGTGTGGGTGAGGCACAGCACAGCCTGTACTTAGAGACACAGAAATATAATTTATATCTCATTTGCCTGGTGAAGCTTAGAACCCAGTTGTATATCTTCAAGGAAGCTTGTGTGTGTGTGTGTGTGTGTGTGTGTGTGTGGTTGAGGGGGGAGGGGGAGTGCCTTCAAAATTAATACTCTAATTCCAGAGCTTTACCATGAGACCCTGGAAGGGCTAAGAGCAAGTTTTTCCAGAGAGCACAGGCATTGATGCTGGACTGTCACATCTACCAAGGGAGTAGAGGAAGCTCCTCATTTCAGATGGGGTTTTGGAGGGTTGGGACAGACTCTTAAGTTCAGCCAAGGACTCCCTTGGCTCTTCCTATATTAAAGCCAAAGGTTGTGTTGAAAATGAAAAATATAAAACAGACCCCATCCCTGTCCCACCCTATCCGGAATACCCACAATAGAAACAGCAAAAGAAAAGTTTTAAGTTTTGTTGATTTTTTTTTTCTTTTTTCCTTTCTTAAAAAAAAAGTAAATAAATTAAATTGCCAACAGTGTGGCTGGGCTAGAAAGTGGGATAGCCATAACCAGGCCATTCTTAAAAAAAAACAAAAACAAACTGGAGAGAGGGTGGGGTTTGTGAAATATAAACAAACAATGGCCAAGGGAAATTATCAAAATAACTAACTACAATCACAGGGCTGGAGAGGGGTCTATGGGACTATTACAGCCTGTGCCACAAGAGGCAGTACCTACCCTACTTCAGCAAAAGCCAGAGAGCAGCTTGCTGAACACAGAAACCCAAACAGACTAACCCCTAACCCCAACCCTGTCATTCCCTAAATATGAAAAGTGTAGGAAAGAAGAAATCTGGAAATATTCGGCATCCCAGCCTGCATGCCTGCAGGCCTAGTGGAAGCCTGCACCTTTCAGGTGGCCTGAACAGGGATATTGCTTGGCACAGAGGTCCAGTCTTCTCCTAAGAGCCATCAGTGATGGCCAATTACAGGCTTCACTATTTCTAGGGTTTTGGTTCCACCCTTACCTTTCTTTAGGATGTCTGTTCCCCAGAACTGCCCTCTAAATACTGCTTAGAGTCAACAGGCCTGCCTACTCTGATTCCCTGGTTTTGGAGGAGAGGGATGATTAGATTCCTCACTCCACCCTGATCCTCTAGGGAAAATGAATCTTTTTGTGCTTTCTGAATATATCTAGAACCAGGGATTAGGCAGGAAAATGGATAGAGGTGGAGATTTCCCCCGAGACTGAGAATTTACCGACATTTTAGGGGAAGAAATATGGCAAAAGGAGGAAATCTGAGTTTCCCACCTGGAAGGTTGAGCAATGTACCCCAGGGCCCTTCAGTGCCAGAAGAGCAGGGAAATGTATGGCTCAAATATAAGCCACAGTATTAAGAACAGTGAAGAGGACTCAGGGCCCAGCTGCTGGAATGATTGGATTTTCTGATTTCCATCTCTTCCTGATAGCTCATCGAGTTCTCCTATATCTCCTCCACACCATGGGCAAATATCATGACAAGCCCCGGTTCTTGCACCATGTCATCACCCATATGCTGGTTTTCACAGGCCATCACAACAACAGCCTGCTTGCCAGGGATGCGCTTGGCCACGTAGTTCTCATAGTAGCGCCGATTCATCTGTCTTGTCTCTAGTGTGGCCAGACCCTGGGGCCAGCTACGCTCATGGGCATTTTCAATCAGCTCGTTGACAATAGAAGCAGGACAGCCACTCTCCACCAGGGAGCGCTTGATTACAGCCTGGAGCACAGCATCTGGGGTTGAGATCATCCCTCCCCAGCGGGTCACTCTTGCTGGCTGAAGGGAGTTCACCCACCTGTGTGGAGGGGGTTGGAGATAGTCATTTCAGCTCATCTCCTTTCTCTGCATTGGCTTTTTCTCCTAAGAGAAAGGACCACCCACTACACTCAGCTTAACTATTCTTCCTTCTTTCCATCCATCATTGGCTCAGAAACCCCAAATCTTTTCCTAGTTGGTCCCATCTGAGTCACCATGTTACTCACCAGATTAAATTTCACAAATCTACACTCTGTCCCTGTTATTTTTCTTTGAAATCCCAATACTTAGCACACATGGTGCTTGGCACATAGTAAGTGCCCAATAAATGTTTATTGAATGAAGGAATTGTTCCTCTATACTGTTCCCATTTAGCGCTATTTGCCCTATATATATTGATTCACACTTACAGTTTAGTCTATGAACTGTATAGGACTCCAGAACTGAAAGGGTTCTTAGATTTCGCTTGTTTACTTCACTTGGTTTTGCTGCATTTTAGAGATCACTTTCCTGGACTTGCACTCTTGCCTCTTCTTCTCTGGGTTGTAAGCTACCTAAAGATAGGGATGATATCTTCTATTTCTTATTGGCCCTCCTAGCACTCTACAGCCATCAGTACAGGAATTTCTATATGGTGAGTACTCACCTAATTCTGGATAAACTGCATCCTTGGGTAGGCTTTCCCTTCCATCCACCCAAATGCATAAGAAATCCTGGATTGGAGCTGAGGGTTATCCTCTTCTCTTCTGCCCCTGTCCTTCATCCCAACATCTAAGAAGCAGTGGCCCCTGGCCAGCTCTCCTACTGCCCTCTATCTGGCACTCCCCTGCTCTTCCTCCTTTCAGGCCTTGGTGCCAGAACGTGGAGTCACTCACTCCACGCCCTGAGTGACACTCACTCTAGGATCTCGTTGTATTCAATTGTCTCCTCCAGGTTCTGAAGGTTGGGGTTGACACTGCGGATTGCACGCATGTATGCCTTTAGCAGCTGGATGTCTCGCTTCTGTTGGAGAGAGGGAGAACCAGGGAGAAAGGTTAAGGCAGACAACAAATAAAAGACAAAAGTTTATCTGAGAACAAGGGCAATTGAGAGATCTGAGGAACGAGACTATAAGCGTCAGGAAGACAAGGGTAGGACTCATTCACAGCTGTCTTCTCAGTGCTTAGCAAAGTATGTTCATAGAGAAGTACGTTCATTTGATAAATGTTAGGTGAATGAATGACATGAATGGGATGAAAGGAAGCAAGGAGAGCTCCAATTTGATTCCCTACTAAGCCATAGGCAGAGTATCCACTCACCCAGGCTCACAAGCACAAGCACAAACACAGGTCTATGTATTCATAAGGGGTGTTTATCACCCATGGGTATGCAAT